GAGGAGAAAGAGTGGATGGCACGTTCCAGGAAGTGAGGGCAGTTCAGTGTGCTGTGGCTGTGGAATTTTCACAGAGCGATGGTGAGATCTGAAGTAGAGTAGGTAGCGAAGGCTAACCCTTGCAAGGCCTTGCAGACCATACAAAGCAAGTTGGACTTTAGGGAATTTTTTCTAAGAGCAAGAGGGAGCTACTGAAAGGTCTGATCCATGAACAGTGTAGTCTAAACACGGCTCTGTCCCCTAACAAACCCAACACTGATCTTCCCTCTCCAGTGCAGGCATCCGAGTCATAGCTGCCTCCTCCCTAAAGCTTTTCTGCTGCTCCAACCTGCATGGCTCCCTCCTCAGCTCCAGGGATCCCACTCGCTTGTAATTGTGTACTTGGGTTCGGTCTCCCTTCATTAGACTGATTTGCTCATCACTGACCCAGACTGGGCTTTACTGAAAGGAGAAAGTGATGAATACAACCTTGCACAACCCAGCCTTTTCTCACGCCCCACCTACCGATATTTACATTGCACTAAAACAACCCTGAGGGTGGGGGGAGGGGAAAGCATCAGTGTTTGCTGGGCCAGGTAACCTAGGTTTCTCTGCTTCCTGTCTGCAGCCACCTCTCTCTGCTCTCAGTGTAATTAGCCTCTAATGTCTCCCCTAATGGGCTATAAAAACTCATCCCAAGCTTGTTCAAACCGCAAGTGCTAGAAAAGACAAATCTAACCTGTAGTGACAGAAAGCAGATCAGTGGTTATTTGGGGTGGGGGGTTCAGGAGAACTGACTGCCATGAGGCACAGGGGAACTTATCTGGGTAGAGGAAGTGTCCTATATCTTCATTGTAGTGGTGGTTCGCAAATGTACAAATTTGTCAAACCTTGTCAACATGGACAACTAAAATGGTCCATTTTATTGTAAGTAAACCAGACCTCAGTAATGCTGAACTTAAAACAAACTGGACCCAGACAATAGTGTGGAGAAGGCCTGGGTAGGGTGAGGAATGGGTGGAGGGGGAAAAGGGGGAATAATGGAGGATATCTATAATACTGTCAATAATAGCCGAAGCCAGTTTTGGCTGTTTGGCTCGGTCTGCGGACTGAAAGGTCCCAGGTTCGATTCCGGTCAAGGGCATGTACATTGGTTGCGGGCACATTCCTGGTAGGAGGTGTGAAAGAGGCAGCTGGTCGATGTTTCTCTCTCATCGATGTTTCTAGCTCTCTATCTCTCTCCTTTCCTCTCTGTAAAAAAAAATCAATAAAATATATTTTTTAAAAACAAAACAAATACTGTCAATAATAAATAAATTGAAAAACAATAAGTAGGCCCAAACACAGTACATATATGAGCTTCGAAACAAAAGTTCAGCCTTAACCGGTTTGGCTCAGTGGACAGAGCATTGGCCTGTGGACTGAAGGGTCCCAGTTTCAATCCCAATCAGGGGAACATGCCCAGGTTGCAGACTTGATTCCCAGTAGGAGGCATGCAGGATGCAGCCAATCAATGATTTTCTAACATCATTGATGTTTCTATCTCTCTCCCCTTCTCACTTCCTCTCTGAAATCAATAAAAATACATTTTTTTTTTTAAAAAAAAGTTCAACCCCAACCTAAGACTAGGGCATGGCCATATGGAAAAACCAGCCACCTCATGGTTGCAGAGATCTAAGAAATATGAGTCCACCTGCTATGCAAGCCCAGGTAAAAAATGCAAGGAACAAAGACTAATATGGAGGAGGCCAGACCAAAATACAATATAGACAAATATTTTCTCTCAAACTTCAAAATACTTAGGCATGAGTGAGGGAAATCCTATCTAGTAAAAGAGTAAAATGCAAATTAACTATCACTCTGCTACACCACAAGCCACACCCACCAGACAATCAGAAACGAGTATGCAAATTAACCCAACCAAGACGGCTGTGGCCACGGAGTGAGCAGGAGGCTTGGGTTTCCTCGGCAATGGAGGAAGCCAAGCTTTCTGCACACCCTGGCAGGCCTAGGCCTCTACTTAAGGCTACAAAGTTTCTATTATAGAAGATAAATAAATCCCAACAAAAATGGCTGCAGCCAAGGAGCAAGCAGGAGGCTTGACTCCGCTAGGCTATAAAGTTTCTTTCTTTTTTTTCTTTTTTAAAAAATATTTTATTGATATTTTACAGAGAGGAAGGGAGAAGGATAGAGAGTTAGAAACATCGATGTGAGAGAAACATCTATCAGCTGCCTCTTGCACACCCCTACTAGGGGTGCCTGCAACCAAGGTACATGCCCTTGACCGGAATCAAACCTGGGACCTTTCAGTCTGCAGGCCAACGCTCTACCACTGAGCCAAACCGGTTTCGGCTAGGCTATAAGGTTTCAATTATAGAAGATAAATAAATCCCAGATACCAGGGCCTCCACTTGAGTCACTGGGGGCATGGCCTGCCTGCAGACCACCACAAGCCTCTCGTCCAGGCCATCCCATGCCCCAAGGAATCCCCCACCTGATCCAAGACACCCTTCTGGGCAAACCAGCTGGCCCCCACCCATGCAGCAGGCCTCTATCCTATCTAATCCTATTTAATAAAAGAGTAATGTGCAAATTGACCCTCACTTCAACATACAAGATGGCTGCCCCATGTTGACACAAGATGGCTGCCACAAGATGACCAGCAGGGGAGGGCAGCTGGGAGGGACCAGGTCTGCAAGGGAGGACAGTTGGGGGCAATCAAGCCTGCAGGAGAGGGCAGTTAGGGGTGACCAGGCCTGCAGGGGAGGGCTGTTAGGGGTGACCAGGCCTGCAGGGGGGGGGGCAGTTAGGGGTGACCAGGCCTGCAAGGGAGGACAGATAGGGGCAAACAGGCTGGCAGGGGAGTGGTTAGGGGGTGATCAGGCTGGCAGGAAGAAGCAGTTAGGGGCAATCAGAAGGCAGGCAGGTGAGCAGTTGGGAGCCAGCAGTCCTGGATTGTGAGAGGGGTCCCAGATTGGAGAGGGTGCAAGCTGGGCTGAGGGACCACCCCTCTCCTTTCTAGGTTAGAATTAATACATAGAAATCCTGCCTCACAGAGCCAGAAGCTGCATATTAGTCCCAGGGTGTTAATTCATAAAAGGTTGGGGAAAGTGATTTTTAAAAATACATTTTATTGATTTCAGAGAGGAAGGGGGATGGAGCGAGAGATAGAAACATCAATGATAGAGAAAATCATCAATTGGCTACACTCCACACTGGGGATCAAACCCACAACCCAGGCATATGGTCTGACCGGGAATAGAACAGTGACCTCCTGGTTCATAGTTCAACGCTCATCCACTGAGCTATGCTGGCCAGGCAGGAAAGGAGATTCTTGAAGGATTGAGTACCTTCACCACAGAGGGCTCCTCAAGAAGCTGGGCCTTACCTCACCTTCTAGGTGATGCTGGGGAGGAAAGCTTTCTGTGCTGAATGGGTAAGGGGAGGAGGGGTGACTCTCGGTTTCCTGTGAGAAGGATTGACATCTGGCCAGTTGGCAACAAGAACAAGTTCACACAGCTGGATGGGCCAGGGGCTCCCAAGGAAGAGAGACATATGAGGCTCCAGAAGTAGTTGGGGGGAAATGTTTGGGGTGTGCAATGTGTGAATGGGGGCAGGGATGGGAAAGAGGACTCTCTCATCTTCCTCTTTACCTGACCTGTCTCTCTTCACAAGTCTCCCAGCACAGAATATCTAAACCAAACTCTGGCGCACAATCTGTCCTGTGTCTCCTGTACAGTTAGTTCCCTTGTACTTCCTTTGTGGGCTCCCAAAGGTCTGTGTCCACACTTAGCCCAGCACTGGTTCACACAGCAAAGTGCTGGAAAAATAATTTTTTTGGACACTAATGTGAGGGCAATAGTGGTACATGTTGGCCTAGTAGTGGGAGTGGGGGTGGGGAGTTAAGGAGGATGGGCTGGTCAGGATGGATCAGTGGAGTCGAGTGAGGTAATGGAATGGTGAGGAAGGACGAGTGAACTGAAGGAAACAGTGGATCTGTGGCAATGTGGGAGAGAAGGCTAGGACTAATAGGAGAGAATAGAAAAGGGTCCGAGATCTTATCGGGGACACAGGCCAGGAGTCACAAGGAGAGAGAAGGTTAGGGGTCAACAGGGAAAAGAATTTGAGGGACCAGTAGGAGAGGTATGATCAGTAGTCATGGGCGGTGAAGGTCAGAGTTCTTTAGAGGAAAAGTTGGAGTTTTACCAGCTTACGTGGCTGCGGTTTGTAGGGCATCTTCAAAGAAGCAGGTAGCACCTTAACACTTGGGAGCGTCTACAAAACGCTCCCTTTCCTGAAGACAGGAAGCTTGTCCGTCCCCTCGATCACGCACGAGAAATCCGGATTCACTTTCACTTCAATTCTCGGTCCCAGGAAACAGCGATCTTTGGGGAACAGCGATCGTTGTGGGTCTCCCCACCTTTGCCGGAGCTAATCGGCTCCTCCCGGACGCGGTTACCTAGCAACCAACAGGCAGCCAGGGCGCAGGCGCCTCGGACGCCCCCTAACGGCTTCAGCGGGTGGCGGGGCAGGGCGTGCGGGGAAGCTCAGCTCCGCTAAGTCCCGCCCGCTCAGAATGAGTGGACCCGCGGCCGCGCGCATTCGTAGCCCCTGCATGTGGGCGGGGCCGGGGCGCCCAGACACCGCCCCCCTCATGAATAATGCACATCCAGGCGGTGCCCGGACCCGGAAGTGGAGTTGCCGAGTCACCGCAGTGGCTGAGCTGTTGACAGGAGGCGGTGGCGGAGGAGGAGGCGAGGCCAGGCCGGCGGCTCTGCCCCGCCACAGCCGCGGTGGTGCTAGGCAAGTCCACGGAGCCACGCGGGCCTCACCCCGCCAGCGAAACTCCTGCCCCGCCGCTCCCACCCGCCGGTCTGCTCGGCCGCCGCCCGGCCGCCCGCCCTCCCCGTCCAGGGCGGCCTAGTCTGCACCACCCCACCGGCTCCTGGGGCTGCCGCCCCGCGCGGTCCCGTTGGCGTCCCCGGCCGCGCCCGGCCTGGGTTCGCTCGCTCGCCGGCACCATGATGGAGGAGATCGACCGGTTCCAGGTGCCCACCGCGCACTCGGAGATGCAGCCGCTGGTGAGGGGGCGGGCGACGGGCAGGCCAGGCCGGGAGGGGGCGCCGCCCGAGGAGGAGGAGGAGGAGGAGGAGGAGGAGGAGGAGGAGGAGGAGGAGGAGGAGGAGGAGGAGGAAGGGAATCAGGCCTCGGGAACTAAGGGAGCACCTTCTATGGGGCAGAGAGAGCCATGAAAACATATCACTTGGGGAGGGTGACCTACAGGACCTGAAAACCGTGGGAGAACCCGCGAGGTGACCGCAAAGAGGCCTGTAAGGGCGGGGGGCACGGCCTGAGGAGGCAGGCCGAGGGAGCTACGGAGAGCACTGCCGGGTGGAACCGAGAGGGACACAATGGTGCACACCACCAACGGAGGCCCGTGGCAGGGGAAGAAAGGGAATTGTCATGGAGCGCCGTGGGCGGCAGGCCCGGTGGGCAGGCGTGAGCGATGGGAAGGCGTTTCGCCCGGGAGGCCTGTGATGCTCAGAGGGGGGAGGGGACTGGAGGGCCGTCGGCTGAGTGGTACTGGAAATAGGTTCGTAGCGGAGGAGGGGCCGGCCCGCCAGTTTGCTGGGTATGGATGGGAACGCGGGGGCCGGGATCTGCGGGGACAGGGATCTGTGGGGGCCGGGATCTGTGGGGGCAGGGATCCGTAGGGGCAGAGGTCGGTGCAGGACCCGGGAATTCCCTTTTCCGGCGGAGAGCGCAGGTAGTCTAAGCCGGCGGCACGGTAGCCGGGAAGGAGAGCGCGCAGAGACGAGATGGAGAATCTGAGGCGCGGATGAGAGGGGCTTCCGAACCGACAGGCGAGGGGACAGGGCTGCGCCGGGGCCTTTTGGAAGAGCCCCATCATCCTAGGCCTACGTGTTTGGAACCCTTGCTGGGCGCCAGATCCGACCGCCGGCCCGCGGTCCCCGAGTCTGGGAGGAATGATGTCATCGCTGCCGGCGCAGAGGGGATGGAAGGGGGAGGGCAAGGCGGGCGCACCGTGGCCAGGCCCAGGGCAGGCCGAGCCGCTGCCCACCGCGGCGGGAGGAGACGGCGAGCACCTGACTGGCTTGCCCGCCGCCTAGTGGAAGAGAGAGAGAGATAGAGATAGAGATAGAGATAGAGATAGAGATAGAGATAGAGATAGAGATAGAGATAGAGATAGAGATAGAGATAGAGATAGACAGAGGGAGGGAGGGAGAGAAGGAGAGAGAGAGAGAGAGAGAGAGAGAGAGAGAGAGAGAGAGAGAGAGAGAGAGAGAGAGAGAGAGAGGATCCAGGGAGCGCCCTGTGTTCTCAGTTCGCTTTTTCTTCTCTTTCCCCCTGGAGTCTTATGGGGAGCTGGAAGGAGTCAGGGCAGGCCAGGCACCTAAAGGTCGGGTGCCCTATCCTTTGAGTTCTGTTGGAACCTAGCAGAGCTCTCCTGGACTTGCAGATACTGGGCTCCCTAAGGCTCTTCCCTCTGTGCTAGGCCAGGAGGTGAGGAACAGGTTCTACTCTTGGGCCTCCAGGCCCCTGGCTGACAGATGTGCTTTGTGGCTTCCCGAGCAACCTGCCCATTACAGCAGCCAAGACAGGCCTTGGTAGGAATCCATGACCTATTCTAAGCCACACTTTCTGGGAGATGGCAGAGAGAATCGCTAGAGGCTACCTGGCAAGAGATAAAAGTCATTTCCCCCTTTTGTGACTACATAGACAGTTCCAGAAGCCAAAAGAGAAGCTGCACAGAGTGTACTATATTACACTGGGGAGAGGGATGCTAGCCTGATGCCATCGTTGGATTATTTAGGGGGTCAGAAAAACTTGGTGCCAAGTGTATCCCATAATATTGAAGAACTTTGGGCTGGGTTAAGAGGACTTTCCTTTCTGGATTATTTTTCCAGCCAACCTGGTTTGTCAAACTAGATTACCCTTCCAAATTCTAAGCACCTAATCAAGAACCCAAAGGGAGGGTGGATGAAGGAGGAGGAGGGGGACATCCAAGTGAGTCAGAAGAGCCCAATGAATTGGTTCTTGCCTCCCATCTGGGGTTCCTGAAAAGGGAGGCGATAACTGTCCAGGGGAAAGGGGGAAAGAATTAAATCACTGGGCTCTCTCGGTTGTCCTTGGTGCCTCCAGCATTGCCTAAAGTTTTTAATGATGGTTTGAGGGAGTAGTGGTCCTGGAAGACTCCCAAGCAGTGGCTCTGGAGTAGAAGTGCAAGGAGATATTCATCAGAAAAACTAATTGCCTTCAGACCTTTTTCTTGAAGCCTAAAGGGAGTCCTTCTCTGCTAGGGGCTGCTTTGTTGCAGTTGAGTGAGAGCCTTCTGGGGGTAATAATACAGCCATCCCCCATTTGAGGGCCATCGACATTGACCTGCAGATTTCTGTTACTTGATTGTTGTTCCCAGGTTGAGGCCCAAAGGACTCCCAAAACTCCTTAAATGCTCTGAATGTTGTTGAGACCAGCAGGATTTTGTGCGGTGTTTCCCCAAGAGCCTTCATTTCAGGGTATAAGGAATCAAGATGGTATACTATAGAAGAGAAAGGCAAAAATGGCTTGTTAGGAGTATTTGGGTGGACCATAAAAACTAGGGCCCCGGGCTTGAACTCAGCCGTGACCAATTTTATTTCTTGCCATTATTTATTGAGACCTCTATCAAGGAAGTCTCTCCTCTTCTTTGGACTTAGTTTTCCCATTTACTAAATGAAGACAAATGATCTCTTTAAAGTTTAAACAAAGCTCCTCACTCTCTCTTCCAAAGAATCTCATAGGGACTTGATATTACTGATTCTGAAAATTCATCCACCTTATATTTATTGAGCATCTGCGCTGTTCTAAATACTGCACTAGGTGTTAGGAACACAGTGGTTAACAACAAGATGCAAATATGGCCCTGCCCTCCATCCCCTCACAGTTCAACAGAAGTTTATTGTTCTTGCTTACTCCCTCAGGGTGAGCCTCTCTGAGGGCAGAAAGGGGGCTGTCTCCTTAAAGGAAATGAGGCAATGCTGGTGTCAGCATCATTCCCTCTTTCCGGACTAAACTGTACTTGTATAGGCCTGTCATATGGGCTCGATCATCAAATAAACCTCCCCTACTCACAGTGGCCATCCCTCACTTGGAAAAATGAGCTCTGAGGGGAGAGTATCTTTATTTTTATTTTTTATCATTTACTTGAAAGAGAAACTCGAGCTTAAAAAGGAGGCCCAGAGGAATGGCATGAGCTGGAAGAGAAGGCACAGTGGACAGATCTGGGAGTTTCCAAGGTGCTAATTTAAGCATTAGTTCTCAGCTTAGTGGGAAGCAGCCATCCCTGCCCTGTTCATGCTACTGCTGTTGTAGCAGTTGCAAGGAGCCTCCTCTGGTGGGGGGAGGGAGGGAGGGAGTTGGCCTGAGGGCGTGGCCTCCCTCTTTTCCCCATCACACCAATTATTTAATTGGCCTGGCGGCATCTCCGCAGCTGAACCAGACCTGGGTTTATCTCTGAGAGCTCCCCACGGTCTCTTCCTGTCTTCTTATGAAAAGAACGAGAGCTTCTCTTGGAGACCTGGTCCCTGGGCTCCACTCCTGCTCTTTCCTAGATAATACTTAGTGTGTTTGAGCACAGATTTTCCCAAAGAAACTGCCAGGGAGAGGCACATCTTGTATGTCAGTTCTGTGTCCAAACCACATAACTCACTGATCTGGGGACACACCCATCTGTCAAGGCTCTCTGTTGAGCAATTGGGTTGAATTTGGGCTATTGTTTGTGGCTCTATGTCTGTCTGCTGGGCTGGTTGGTGCAGTCTCACAGTCTGCCTTCTACTTGGCTATAATTGGAGAAGAAGAGATTTGTGGAAAGCAAATCACAAAAATGGAGCTTTTAAGCACTTAATTGTATTGGGCAAAACTCTGCCTCCTATGCTTTCAGAGACCAAAAAATGGCATATGGCACCAGACAGGGTCTCTATACACTTGACCAAAATGCTAGCCTGGGCTCCCTGAAACCTAGGTTGTCTGTTAACTCCTTTGTTTAATTCATGAGCAGATGCTTAGTTCCAGGTACTTTAAGACTAAGACAATGAGATCTCTCCGGTGGTTGGCCAGAAGGATGGATTCAAAGGCTATAGGAAGGTTTTAGATACATGCCAGGAAAGAATGGAGATCAATGGAGGGTGCTCCTGAGAAAGGATGACACCTCTCTTGGGAGAAGATGAAAAATGCTGAAGTTCTGACCCTTTGGCCATCTGAGTCTTAAAAATAGTTTCAGACTCCTCCTGCCTCCTGACACTCAGGGGTGGGGGATGGTCAGGACATCAGTTCAGTGAATAGACCATAATAGCTCCTGAAAAGTGGCAAGAGTCACTATGGAAAATTAACCTGCATGTATTATGTGCTCAGAGAGCCTTAAGTTGCCTCCTGCTGGTCAGATGACTTTTCATTTAAGGGTGGACTCTTCTAATGGGTCCATATGGCTTATGACCTAGTAGTATTTCTCAGGTTCTGGAATGAGGCCCTTTCCTCTTTTCCTGTATTGCAAAGTGAGGATCAGGTTTACTTAGACCTCTACCTCATCCCTTACTACTTATCACCTCAATCAACAAATACTAAGAACCTACCTTCTGCCTGCTAGATGTTGTGCTGGGCTCCATAACATAGAATTTTACTCCAGGGATATGAATAATCAAGATGGACTGAGGTACAACAGAGTAGTGAGCACTGCAAAAGGAAGAACCAGGTCCACCAGGGCCAAAGGAAAACAGAAAGGGCTTCCATTAAGTGGTCAGAGAAGGCTTCACAGAGGAGTCACTGCTGGACTGACTTTTAGAAGAAGTGTAGAAGGTTGGCAGATGAGACGAGTTCAAGAGTTCCAGCAAAGGACATGAAGGAAAAAACAAAAAGGTGCATTTAAATGATTGACGGGTTTTTCTTAAGGGAATAACATAATCAAATTTGAGTTTAGGACTAAACTTCAGTAGTGGATAAGAGATTAGACAAGATAAGATTGGAGGTCAGAAAATGAATATGAAGGTGGGTATAATAATAATACAGGAAGAAATTATTTCAGCCT